ACCAACCTTGTGCCATCGAGTCGACTCCAACTCATGGAGACCTCACCTGTGTCAGAGTACAATCGTGTTCCATAGGGTTTTCAATGACTGATTTTTCAGAAGTAGATGTCCAGGCCTTTCTTCCGAGGTGCCTATGGGTGGGCTTAACTGTTTGTACCACTCAGGGAGTAGTTAATGATAGAGCTGGGATTTTAAAGCAGGTTTGCCCGAATTCCTTTTTTTCCCCCAATTGCCCTCAGGTTGATTCTGACTCATGGCGATCCCATGTGCATCAGAGTAGAACTGTGGTCCATGGGATTTCCAATGGCTGATGTTTTGGAAATAGATCACCAGACCTTTCTTGCAAGGTGCCTCTAAATAGATTCAAACCACCAACGTTCCTTTTAGCAGCCAAGCGTGTTAACAGTTTGCAACATGCAGGAACTCCAAACTAGTTGCCACCGAGTTAGACTCTGGTTCCTGGCGATACCATGTGTGTCAGAGTAGAACTGTGCACCACAAGGTTTTCAGTGTGACCAAAAATCCAAACCCGTTGCTACTGAGTCGATTCCGACTCACAGTGACCCTCTAAGACAGAGCAGAACTGCCCTACAGGGTTTCCAAGGCTGTAATCTTTATAGAAGCAGACTGCCACATCTTTCTCCTGAGGAGCAGCTGGCGAGTTAGAACAGCCGACCTTTTGGTTAGTGGCAGAGCACTTAACTACTGTGCCACGAGGGCCCCTTTTTAGTGGAATAAAACCAAAACCAAACCCGTTGCTGTTGAATAGATTCTGACTCATAGCGAGCCTATAAAACAGAGTAGAACTGCCTCATAGGATTTCCAAGGAGTGGCTGATGGATTCAAACTGCACTTTTGGTTAGCCGCCGAGCTCTTAACCACTGTGCCACCAGGGCCCCTTTAGTGGAACAGTCACTCTTAAACCCTGAGCTAGTTTACCATGGATGGTTGCAGCTATGGGCATCTGCACAGAATGAAGGGGCTGCAGAGCAGTGCTCAGGCTGCTCTTTGCTAAGCAAATGACATGTTTGCTTCTTACATGC